ACCTCCACAGGAAGTCATCGATAAAATGGTCATCACTGAAATTAATCAGTGCCTCAAAGTCACTGTGGTCAGAAAAAGAAGACACGCCACAAACAAGCCAAAAGTACTCTTGTAAAACACATCTAATGAGTAACTCTTTATTAAAATGCATAAAACTCTAAAAACAGCACTGCTAAGCAAATAGTCTAATTTAAAAAAAATAAAATAAAAGACCTAGACACTTCACCAAAGAAGATGTGCTTATGTGAGATGCACGTGAAACTATACTCACTCTTACGCTGACAATAACAATGAACTACAACAACCTCAGAAGAGCCCCATCCAGAACACTGCTGACGACCAGCACCAGTGAGGGCAGAGTGCTCACCTCCAGTGAGAACACAGAAACAACAGTCAACACAAGACACTCTGGCAGTTGCTTACAAAGCAAACCCACTATTACAACACTCCTGTCTGCAGCTTTGCTCATGGCTGCCAAAATCTGGAAAACCAAAATATTCTCCGTTAGGTGAGTGGATAAATAAGCAGCAGCCCATCCACACAAAGGAATATTATTCAACAATAAAAAGCGAACTTTCAGGCCTTAAAAATAGACTAGAGAAACCACAGGCACTATTTAAAAGGCAAGCTAAGAGGACTACATATCATAGGATTCCAGGTAGATGGCACTTGAGAAAATGGGTACTGTGGAAACAGTGGAAAGACTGCTGGTGGCCGGGGAGCGGGTGGATGGAGACACAACAGGCTGCTCTGGAGGGACTGTTTTATAAAATACAGGGACCGTTCTCGTGGGTGGCTTATTGTGGAGCATGACGTGTGTGGTTGGGGCCTGTGTTCCCACTCAATTTCACTATTAACTTGAAAATATGAAGTTTATTAATTTTAAAAAATAACAAAGAATGGCTATCATAGCCATTGCCCCAAAGCAAACAAAAACCAAAAAACCATTTTCACAAGTCTGGAGGACAGATTTCCTTTCAAGTGTTCAGCATTTCTTTCTATCAGAGTAAAGGAATAAAGGGGCAGGTGGCTACATAGATGAAACATGAGGTGAAAGTAGGAAGAACTCATGTAACGGAGCATAACTTCAGTTGTGTAGATGGGGGGGGGGGGGGGATTTCTCTCCTAAGAGGCCAATTGTTTAAACAGGAACCATATTAACTAAGTCTGTTACCACCACAGTAACTCAAGGTTCTTCAGAGATCTTCAGTTCTGAGATATAAAAATCATACATGTATGTGGTCAAATTAACATTATAAAAATGAATCTACTAACTATGCAATAGCTAATATTTTCGTCAGAGTATGCCTGAGAGGTGGTAAGTTCTATTAGACAAAGCTGGCAGAAAAGCAATTTTCACATCAGCCCTAATAAACTTGCCCTAGGAGCAGAGATGTAGCTGCTTATGGTCACCCCACAGTCTGTAATCCCAAAGTTGGGCATATTGCCTCACCAGTAAAATATTCCTATTTTAAAGGGAGTACAACCTGGACTGAAAGGGAGATCTTCGCTCCAGTGTCATGCTGACTTAAGGGCATAATTTTTCAAGAGCAACTTATCTAGAAAAAACAACTAGGACGTTGCTAAGGGACACAGCAAATACATTAAATATGCCAGCAGTCTTCTCCTGATAGGGCTGTCAGTATTCTGGACGGACACACATGAGCGAAAGAGAGAGAGGCTAACATAAACAACTGTCTGAAACGCTAAAGCTGAAAGCCATCAGCCCTAACGACGACCTTACATTGGGAGCTGATGACCCCAACCCTCCACGTCGGTTTCTACCACAGACTACTTCAGAACTAGGATAGAAAGCTAAACAGCTTACAGCATTAACAGGTATAAGTAAATGTGGGTCAGGAGCTGAACGGAAGGACAGTGCTGTTGCCTTCCTGGTACAGCACTGGCATTTCAGAATTATTTTAAAAGATAAATTCTCAAAGTGTCCTCATAAATATCTTAAATGAAAGATATTTATGTTTCATGATGGCTGGAATGAGAACGAGCCCCATCAGTTCATACATTTGAATGCTTGGTCCCAGTTCTTAAAACTGTTTAGGAGGTCGAGTTTCAAAAGCCCATACCAGACCAGTCCCTTGTGCATGTGGATCAGACGTGAACTCTCAGCTACTTCTCCAAGGTCATGCCTGCCTACCTGCCACCACGTTCCCCACATGGTGGTCATAGACTAACTCTCTGAACTGTAAGCAAGCCCCCAAGTGAATGCTTTCATTTGTAGGTTGCCTTGATTACAATATCTCTTCATAACAAGAGAAACAGAGAGACAAAAGCTTCCTTAATCCAGGGAGCCTAATAGGTCTTGGTGCCTGGGCTTGGGTTCTGACTGTGTCACTTACTGTGTGACCATCTCTGGATATATAACCTTGTCAAACTCCTTTCCTTATCTGTATGGTAAGGCCCGTTTTCAGAGGTCTGCTACAGGCAGGTGTGACTAGACCCTGCTTATCCGCTATTGTTTTGAGCCTAAAGACACACTTTAGTCAACATCTAGTTTGCATGTGTAGTTCTTACTGGAGGCAAATGGATAAAAACCATCACTGGAAAGAATCTAATAATCAAGATGGGTAAAACAATCAGAGATAAGGAATGGGTTTCCTTCAGAAATGACATTCCAAACATGCTTGTTTCTATGAAGATGAAGATCAGGAGGATAAAGCCCCGACCTCCAGCAGTTTCATTTACTGCTTTTTATTTTAGCTGAAAGCAAGCTGGTAAAAACAAGACAGTAACAAAAGTTAATAATGTGCATTTTAAAAACTTACATGCCGAACATTCAACATGAGCAATAATCTCTTGAGAAGAAAAGATGTAGTAAGCCAGCTGTTGACACGGCTGAGCTGCAGACAGACACTGCTAACTGGGGAAGCAGGCTGACTTAGGCCTTGAAGGATGACTAGTCTAGTCACACTGAGACACAACCACACAGAATGGGCTCCAGAGCCTCCAGTTCCTCCTTTACGACCCCTTCTTCTTACAACTTCAGCCTCACGACTGCACACCTTCAATAACATCTTGCTAAACACAGGAGAAGCGGTTCTCGGGGTTCTAAAAGCAGCTCAGATTGCTCCAGGATTAACCCACCACACCAGGAAACACTGCTGTGCTGTGTGTTATGTCCTCCCACAGGGGGCAGCACAACACATGGAAAGAGAACGGGTGCTCAGAAACTGGGCAGATGGAGACTAGTATCTGTTACTTAGAACTTGCACAGGACCTGCACAGGTCTGTGCCAGATAGGGGCCCAGCACTGGGAGGGAAAGTGGACACAAGCCTTCATCCCGAACGCAGACGCTATCTGCGTTGACAACCACTTGCGAATGCAAAATGTTTGTTTTCTCCAACAGAGTCTAACTGGGGAAACAAGCTGGTCCTCAGGGTTGGTCCTGTGCCCAGCAGCAGATGACCAATACAAACTCAAGGGCATCTCATAAGGTTTTCTTCCCCCTTTTTAACTTACAGATCCTATGCACATATATTATGGCTTCCAGTTCTGTTTTTATGGGACTCCTGTGTGTATGAATGTGTATGGCTCCATCTGTATGTGTTTCTTGTCCTCTGGTGCTTTTTCTTCTGTTTGTCTGTTTTGTCCTAATGTGCTTAATTTATTGTTGTTCTATGGTGTTTTATTTTACTATTTTTCTTTAGGTGCCAGAAAAGGTACGGATTTAGATGGGAGAGAGGTGGGGAGGGATCTTGGAGAAATTGGGGAGGGAAAGCATAATTAAAATATATTGTACAATATTTTTAAAGTACACTGAGGAAGACTTGAAGGAGTGATGTTTCCTTTCTTCCAAAGACAGTGTCTTGCCATATAGCCCGTCCCAGACTCACAATCACTAGAGAAGCCAGGCTGGCCTGAACTCTGCCAACAATCCTCCTACCTGAAGTGCTGAGACACAGATGTGTGCCGGCACACCTGACTCTAAAGGAGGGTTTTCATTTCATGCTCCTACTCTTTTCAAAGGCCAAACTTTTAGGACTTGAATTAAACTGCAGCCCAGGATAGAGTACAGTTTTCTTTTTCTTTTTTATACTGACAAAGGATGTAAAGGTTACCAAAATAAAGTACTGAATTAGTACAAATTTCTCCTTATTCCCTTATTTAAAAACTCAGATATGTGAGGTCTTCTTAATATAGCCACAGTAACTTTAAAAACATCTTTGCAGTATTTGAGACAACATCTTGCTATCTTGAACTCATAATCTTCCTGCCCTGCCCTCCACAGTGCTAAATTGCTGTTACAAAAACGAAAAGAATGGGCAAAACATTTCGAGTCAGTCCAGACCAAAATCCTCCATCTTAAGATGGAGAGAGTTGAAAGGAAGAAAACCATTACCTGATGCCATTTCCTTCCTATGTCATGCTAACAACTAAAAAAATAATGTGACTGGGCTATACAAATTAGAGAGGCACATTCTCTGAATTTATTTTACAAACTAAAACAAAACTGATTCAGCAAATTGAATTTTAAGCCAAATGTATCCATCACTTTCTTCCCAGTCAAACTGTACTGAAGGAGATACTGTTAAGTTTGCAAGTATTTATGGGCAAAATCCAATGATCCATCATTAAAATTAAACATCAGCAAATAAAGAGTAAAAGGATGCCTGCTATAGAGAGTGCTTGTTTTCGTGCCTGTGAAACAGTGGGCTCTCACTAACACAATTCCCATGACAGGTTACCTCCTGAGGCTATTCTTCAGGGACGTCCAGGAGTCACAGTTAACTCCTGAGCAGCGAAGTACAACTATTTGCAGTGACTTCCAATCTTCCAATAGCTTACGCATTAGAGTAAGTCTGGTGAAAACATAGTTATTTTGCAAATAACAAGATTCTTTATTACTTGATTTACATACATTTCACGCCAACCCTGCACACTCACACAAACCACTTTGGCAACAAATGTAAAACTGGTGATTTTTTTTTTTTTTTGGTGGTGAACACTGGTGCCTTTAACAAACTAAAACTTATGCACTCACCTTTGTTGTCTTTGTGTAGAATGGGGAGGAGAGCTGGTGAATGGGCAGGCCTGCGATGCTACTACAGTTTGTGACATTGCTATTGTGCGTGTGTTCCTCTTCTCTGCTACTGTCATCAGACTGATCAAAGTCATCACTCTCCTGGTCCATCTCCTCTTCCTCCTCCTCCTCTTCCTCTTCCTCCTGCTCCCCAGCATGCTCTTCATCGTGCTCCTGCTCTTCCTGGTTTCCCGAAGAGTCCTCGTCTACTGAAATGAAGCGGTTATTGTTTTCTTCCACCTGTCCTTGTTGGGCATCATTCTGGTCTCGAGGCCTAGGGTCTGGACCCACAAGTTCACCATTGCGCGCAGTGCGCTCCTCCTCTGGTCGTCTCAGCTGCTGCTGCTCCTCGGCCACGCGGTTCATCTGCTCCTCATCCCCCTGGCCTGAGGAAGCGTTCCCTCTCAGAGAGCCCCCAGTCCGTCGTCTTTTGCTGCCCCCAGAGAGCAGTTCCTGATTCATTTCCAAAAGCCAGCTTGCTGCTTCTTGAACCTTGGCTAGACTATCAGAAGATGCAAAGCTTTTCACATTCTGCAGGAGGAAATGGGGGACAAAGAAGATTTGTACAATCTGTGCTGTTGTGTCTACTTTTGTGTCACATGCCTACAGTCTAAGAGCAGTTAAAGATTGTCACACACCCTTTAGTAATAACTAAGTCTTAAATAAGCCATAAGACTTTCAAAGACTCATAGTAAAGACCTTTAACTGTATAGACATATACAGACATATATGGTTTTTTCATAAACCTCTAACAGCTTGGTAGTTTAGTCACTTTGATCAACATGATACAACTTAGCTAATAACACAATTTTAAATTTTAATTCATTAATTCAGAAACCATATCCTGTATAAGTCATACACTGAGTAGTAAACATACACAAACAAACAAACAAAAAAAAAAAAAAACAAAAGAAAACTACTATAAAGGACCAGCCTGGTTCAGGAAATTATCCTGGCAATTTCCTAAGCTTCTGAGGTCACAAACCTCACCCTCACATAAGGACAGTCACTGTGCCTTTCAATATCCACAATGAATATGAATCAGCTGAACAATAAATTTTAAAATTGTAGGTAAAAAACAGAAAAGCAAATGTTCATGAGTTAAAAAAGAGAAAAGCAAATGTTCGTGAGTCTATACACTCTGACCCAGCAACTCCACTTCTGGTAATGTATCCTATGAAAGTAATCCTGAAACAGGAAAGGAAATTATACAGAAGATGCTCATTTATGCAGAGAGGAGATGGGGTGGAGGAATGAGAATAAAATCCAGATGTTCAAGATACAAGAGTCAAGAGCGGGCTGGAGAGATGGCTCAGCAGTTAAGAGCACTGGCTTCTGCCAGAAAACACGAATGTAGTTCCTAGTGTCTGCACACTGGCTCACAACTCCAGCTCCAGGTGACCTGACACCTTCTTCTGGTTAGGGACACACAGACATATATTGACACAAAACACCCATACACATAAAATAAGTAATTTAAAAGAAAAGAGTCCATGAGCTAGAATTTGTAGCTGAGCCATGATGTTCCTATGAAGACAGGGTGTTTGTGGGTGCTCTAAACTTATTTCTCAAATCTCACAATACTAAGTATGCTTTCCTTTGAGTCTTAGCATTCACTCTAATATTTCACGTTACAGTTTTCAGTGATCATGCAGAAATTCTTTGCTGATATTTATCACATTCAAGTTTACCTAAAAATTTTTTTCAACACATTAAAAGAAAAAAGTACCTAGAACCTGAACCTTGAAGTTTTTATAGAGAAAAGGTTAACAAATTAAGCTGCCAAAAATGCACAGTTTAGTTTACAAACTAATTTTGAATGTTTTAGAGAAAGCTTTATATGAATCATAACACTCATATAAAACACAAACAGCAACAGACGGGCTCCTATTGTGTTTAAATTGAAATTTTCAAGTTCAAAATTTTAAAATGCTCTCCTATTTCATAGCAGTAGACGTACATAATGGCAACATGCATCAAAGATAGAACTTCTGTTTTATCAATACTAGTGAGGCTTACCTGACGTTCAGAATAATGAAGTCTGAGGGCTAGCTTATTTTTACACTGTACAATTTAAAAATACTGCACTATTTTCTTCACAACTGGACATGATGAAAATGTAAATGACAGTGACAGAACCATATAACTTCCAAACTGAAACTGACACCAACTAAACACGAGACAACTGAGACTCAAACAGCGTACACTTCTCAAGGCTGCTGGCTTCAAAACACAAACACCCACAAAGAACACACAAGCAAACAAAAGCCCCAGATTTAAGAACTTTTAACTGCATCTTCTTCGTGTGCCTTAGTCTACAAGAGCACATGATAAAAGCCTAAGAACAGTATGCTCTAACGCTGACATTGCCTTCTCTCACACCAGAATCCATGCTGTGTTCACAAATTATTAGTCTAAAACAAGCACCCACTTCAGACCCAATTAATATCCTGAAGAAACAGATTTACAATTGTTTCTTTACCCAATCCCAAGTACTACCAAGAATAAATTATAAAACAACAAATTCTAGCAGGGCAGTGGTGACACAAACCTTTAATCCCGGGACTTGGGAGGTAGAGGTAGGGGATCTCTGAGTTAAAGGCCAGCCTAGGCTACAGAGTGAGAGTTCTAGGACAGCCAGGGCCACATACAAGCTCCCACCTCCTTAAACAAACAAACAAACAAACAAACAAACACTGAAACAAAGACCAAAAATAATCTAAGACATGTTTCTGCTTGTGTCATTCAGCCTTTTTTACTAGAACTCACAGGAACATAAGATTTCACATTACAATGCTACAAGGAAATATTAAAAATACCTGAAACAATAGTTTCAGCTGGAGTGGAGATAATGAAACATTCACAATAACGAAAGTCTCTATAGGTTATCACCGCTAATTAAATATAGCTAATTATCTTCATTCGTGGCCATTATGTTTGCTGAAATTGCTTTAGTCGTTGAGTTAGTAAATCCTGAGGCATTGTTCTTGGGGAAAAATGGTTCCCATCAAACTCTAGATCACAACATTGTTATCTGCCAGCCAACTCAGACTCACTTCCGATTAAAGACACTTCACTTAATGCATATTACTGACTTAACACTGACCTCATGCCCACCTATGTAACTCGTGTCTGAATGAGGCTTATCTAATCCTGCATTATTTTCTTCATAAGGTAGCATCACAGCCTTTCTGAGCTTACAAACAGTAGCAGGTAACTTGGTTTTATGGCTGGGGGTCATTTTAAGCAATATAATCAACAACAAAAGGAACAGAAACAAGAAAAATACTTCAGTATAGGCCGTGGACAGGACATGTTTGTGGTGTGGACTGAAACAAGAAGGTAAAGCATTGCCTGGTTGACACATGCGTGTCCGCTGGGTCCGTGGGGGTGGGGTCCTGTGCATATCCACACGCAGGCTGACCCCTAGCACGTCAGTGCCAGTCTACCACCCCAGTGCTGGCCAGGGGGGCAACAGCCAGGTCCCAGGCATCTGTCGGCCTGTCAGTCCGGAGCAAATTGTAAACTCCAGGTTGACTCCCTGTCCCAAAATAGAAGCTAGAGAGCAATAGAGAAAGACAGCCAGCATCAACTAGTGGCCTCTACATGGCACACACACTCACACTTATATATGCACACTCTCTCACTAATCCACTAAAAACAGTAACAAGCCCCTACAGCAAGCCCCCCTCCCTGACCGGCCGTTCCCCATGGTACTATATACAGAGAAGCACTAGAACAAGCCTGCTCCGCAGGAGGTGCCTAGTCTCACCCACACACTGGCGCACACGGCCTCCCCACTAGATCTGAGACCATATCGGAAAGGAGCTGTCCTTTCTTACTAACGTTGTCCCAGTGCCTCACAGAGGCATTAGCTCAACGAGGAAGAAATTCCCCAATCTCTTTCAGGCCAGCCATAAATTACACATGCATTCTTTAAGAAGCTCTGGCTATGTCACACAGACAATGCCAAGAATGTTTAGCACACTTTTAAAAGTCTATACTCGACACTGAACATACTTGTTAAACCTTCTAAACTTAAAATTTATTTATAGGAGCAGTGTGAAGAAGCAGCAAGAGCAACCCCCGGACAGACCGAGTCCACACGCCGCCATCTCCCTCCCGCCCCCCAACGTCCCCCACCGTCGCCATGCCCAAAAGGGATGCTAAAGGAGATAAAGCCAAGGTGAAGGATGAGCCACAGAGAAGATCTGCAAGGTTATCTGCTAACCCTGCTCCTCCGAAGCCAGAGCCCAAGCCTAAAAAGGCCCCTGCAAAGAAGGGAGAGAAGGTACCCAAGGGGAAGAAAGGGAAGGCTGAGGCCGGTAAGGATGCAAATAATCCTGCGGAAAATGGAGACGCCAAAACAGACCAGGCACAGAAAGCTGAAGGTGCTGGAGATGCCAAGTGACGTGTGTGCATTTTTGATAACTGTGTACTTCTGGTGACTGTACAGTTTGAAATACTATTTTTTATCCAGTTTTATAAAAATGCAGAATTTTGTTTTACTTTTTTTTTAAGCCATGGTGTTAGCACACAGAACACTTCATTGTTTGGGGGAAAAGAACATACCTGTCACTAACAAAATGTCTCCCAAGCTGGATTGATGATGGAAAACATTTTCCCTGATAATTCTGAAAGATTCTGTTGGCTCCCAGAAGGGACATCGCGGTGTTGGCATATGTGGTCGCCATGGTACAAAATGCCTTGTGGTGTGGGAAAACTAAATTCATTTTTGTATTCTCCTCCCCCTGTACCGTCAACATTGACTTAACTCCCTTAAAACCAGAGACCTGCTGGAACCTGACCCCCACCCCCCAAATTGGTTTTCCGGTCTATTGGGCGATCTGGACTTTGCAGTGACATCATGAGTGTCCTCAGAAGAACGGTGGTTCCTTTTATAAAAAGTTGTGGATCTTCAGATTGCATGTCAATTTTTGTTTCCTTTCCTGAAAGTCAGGGTCGGCTTGTGAAAAGTTGTCAAACAACATCCTTAATGTGAAATGTCAACCCTCACTCTAAGCTACTTCCCCCTTTTCAAAGCATTGAATGAAGATTTCATTGGGTTTTATAGTGGCTTTCTGATTTTGGTAGTCTATACAAGAAGGGAGTTGGAAGTTCTTGTATACTGTTAATGATTGTCTGCCCATGTCCTGCCTGAAATACCATGACTGTTTATGGAAAGTATCTTTAATAAAGCTGGATACATTAGGCTTGGGAAAAAAATCATTTATAAATTATATTTCAATTTTTATAAATTATAAAGTCATGAAGTAGTTTTCTTTCCTAGCAAATAGCTTAATAGCTCACACCTGTAATCCCAGAACTTAGGCAGCTGAGTCAAGAAATTGGTAAAATTGAGACCATCCTAGTCTTGATAATAATATCCTGTCTCAAAAATTAAAAAAAACAGAAAGGAAAAAAAAAATATTGTGTCATCTTTAGTACAGACCATTAATAGTGTAACTAAAAAAATTAATATTTCAAAATGTTATTGTTGTTGTTTTGCATTTTAGTTATTCTGGTCCTTT